CTTGCACAGCCCTCTCTCCACGTTTGGCCCTCCCTCAGGAAGCGCCGGCGGGTTGTGAGCAAGAAGTTGCACAACTCTCCTGCATCTCAGGGATCCTCCTTGCTTTCTACACCTGCCCTTCCTCCCATGGGGCTCAGCCCCTCATCGTAGCCTCCCACCATGAGCCTGCCTGGCAGGAAGGAGCTTCCCGGGTGCAGGACGAGGCGCAGCTGGAGGAACTGAACTTGCAGCTCAGCCTCATCCTGCTTTTCTTTAAATTGCTGCAGATTGGGTAAAGGGTGTGCAAAGACACATTCATTTCCTCTGGACTGTGGCACTCTGGGGGGAATGCAGGGATGGGACGGGGGCTGCGATGCTCCCAGCAGCCATCCCCAGCTGGTGCCGGAGCCCGACCGGGAGGCGTGCTCCTGGGCTGTGATGGGCTGCGTGCCGCAGAGCCCTCGTTCTCCAAACAGGGACGTTCCTCTGCCCCATGCCCCAGCCTTGTCACCCTGAACTCCAAACACCGGGAAGTGCAGATTAAGGGCGAAGATGTGATGTGAGGGACGTTAAAGCAAGTTGCAGCACTCAGCGCTCCTTCTTCCTGCAAGGCTGTTTCCACTTACCGCCGATGAGCATGAGGTGCTCTCTGGAAAGTAGCAAGTTGCATTTCCCCTGTCGTTTCTCGCACAAGGCTCCCACGTCACCGCAAGCTCTTGTTCTTGCCCTTGCAGCCAGGGCAGGAAGCGGCGGCATGGATGGGAGTCGCTCTCCCTCGAAAAATCTCCCACCTGGCTCAGTGCTGGGACCACCACACTGGCGGGGCTCTCCTGCAGTGGGGAAAAAACCCTTTCTAAGCAGGGGGGGGAGCTCTGTGCATGCAAGAGCCCATAACAACGGAGTAGCCGCCTGCAGCACAACTGAGGTCGATGCTCATGGCCAGCTCCCCACTTGCACGCACACTGGGGAGGTTCAGCTCTAGCCACCTCCATGGGAGAGCCGGCTCAGGAACGGCAAGAAATGAGGCTTATGTCAAAGCCTCAGGTGTGTGCAAATCACAGGGAGATTTTTGCTGCTGGGAAACATTTCTACCAAATAACGCCAGCTGTTGCCTCAAAACCTGTGGCTGCACAGGGACGGGGCGGTGGCAGGTGGGGACGGAGCAGCTCTTGGTGCGGTGCATCGTGGCGCAGCGGCACACGACAGCTGTGGGTGCTCAATGCGGAAACACAAGTGATTTTGGCAAGTGGGGAACAAGTGGAGGGGAAAACACGTGAGTGAAAGGGAAGGGAGCAGAAAGGCTGTATTTAAAGGTTAACACTTGCCCCAGGAGAGAGGAGGCAAATGTCTGTGCTCTTAAATAGCATTTGCTGACAAGGTCGTCTCACAGTTATTTGGTTTGGGTTTTTTTCTTAAAAGACCAATTATGTCCCTTTTTTTTCCACTGTACTTGCTCACACCCCTGTTGAGTAGGGAGTCTGATGAACATCATTGTGAGATCTCAGGTCGTCACCACCTTCCCAGTGCGGTAGCATTAGTTCACACCTCCCACACTCATTGCGTTTCTTTAACACAGCAAGAAAAACCTGGCACGACATGAGAACGAGATTGCGGCAGAAAAATACTTTCCGCTAAATTACCACAGTGTTTTGACTAACCTCAAAATCATACCATCCCTTTCTTCCTGGTCCCTTACTTCCCTGAGATGTGCGGATGAGGGGTTTTTGCATCCCACTAACACACACGTGTGGAGTCCTGGTGCGTTGCTGCGACAGAGGAGTGCAGGGCTCCAGCGTAGGGTTGCCCTGTCCCCTCCAAACCCTGAGCCTGTGATGTGCTGAAGGGTGACTTGTTGATGGTGTATGTTGATGGTATCCTGGGAGCTACTACCAGTACATTGGAGCTGAGCACGAGTCCTTGGCATCCGGCTGGGCCGTGCCAGTCTCCCAGCCACCCCCCATATTCACCAGTAACTTTGCACATCTGCAAAATGTGGTGGGGCCGTTGATGCATTGTGTCACCCTGGGCCTCAGAGCATCAGCAGGCAGGTGTTTCTGCAGCACTGTGAAATGCAGATTTTAACACGGGAGCTTCCCCAGCACTGGTGCAGAGCAGACAGGGTGGCCGTGGTCCAGGAGGGCTCTGACAGTGATTTAATTCACACCCTCGGCAAAAGCCCCTGTGCAATCACTGCCAGTGTGGAGCCCCTTCCTGAACACTCGAGGTGGTGAAAGGAGCCGTCCTCCTTCACGGGGGAAAAGCTGATGAGTGGCAGAAAGTACCTCTGGGAGAATAAAAGGGGGATGGAGGTTTCTGATTAATTGCCGAGCAATTTCTTCCCCGTGTGGTGGCTGTGCTTTGTGCTGTGCCGGGGGGAGCAGAGGACGTCATGGAGTGGGCAGATGAGTTGCCTTTGAGAGCGCTGGCAGGCGCTGCAGGATTTCACCG